TGACATTAAACGGTGCAAAAAAGTTGCTCAACGCAAAAAATCTTCTGGAAACGTTTGGGATGATTGGATAGATGCAAACTGCGGAGTGAACTTGACTAGATGCAACAACAAGTAATTTAGCCAATTTTTTGGATGTTTCAGCAAGATCTTCAACCATCTGTTCCATGGGGATTTACGAATGAATTTATTGCTGATATTGACTCAAAAAATTTTACATTCGAGAATTTCGTTTTTTTCTCTTATTCTTTCATCGAAATAAATATATCGGACTCGGTTTCACTCGTTTTGACACAACAGATAAACTCGGCAAAACAAAGACGTTTTGACGATGCAACAGATGGAATTTGCTAGTGAAACGATTCAATTTTATGTTGAAAAGGGTTTTTACACAACAAATCAACGAAATTGAACGTTTGTTTCAAGTGTCCGGAGAATAGTATAAGACTTTATAATCGGAACACCGAAACGTTATTGCACCATTTCCATTCATACCATTTGATCCTATAAACTAGTTTCTCAGTTCTGAGCTTAACAATGATCAGTCACTGATTGCCACTATCGAAAGGTCCGTAAGAGTTCGGAATATTCAGTGAGCGAAGCTCCATTAATATCGCAACTTACCAGAGCCAAATACCTGCCTGCAATGGCATAGTTCGACGTGATAAAGTAACGAAAATACCACACCTAACGAACGATTGCTATTCGAAATGCTTCACTTGTTCGTTCTCTACAAGCAGTTTTTCTACAAACTATTCAAAAAAACTAATGAATTATACTGGAAAAATCACAGTCCATCGTTCAATATTGATTAACACGAGAACTTTGCGTAGTTCTAATCATTCAATGTTTTGTGTTCACTCGTTCGAACTTTACTTTTTTTCATGTTGCTTTACATCGTTTCGCGAGATGTTTTCGCCTCAAAAGTTAACCTCTCACACTTGCTTTGAGCAGTTTTGAAGACGTAACACAACAACACTGCACAGCAATATTTTGCTAGTGATTGTTAGCTGGAGATGGAAATGTTATTGCTATAACAACATACTTACTCATCATCATCGAACTGACATGCAACGCAATCAAGTGAAAAACAGTAATTATGATCAGGTCGGTCAACAAACGGATGGGTACTGAATGAAGTGAACAAATTAATGAGTGAGTGAGTATTTGTGGCTTGAAACGAATGTGTAGCGTGATATCGCAATGAAGGTATGCAACCGAAAAAGTGTGAGTCGAGAGTTTCAATTTACATAAATACACCTGAATCTATAGCTTCATTTGTTCAGTTCGAATTAGGCACCGCCCGGTGAAAAAAAAAAGAACCTCAACGAAAAGCTGTTGTTAGATATGGAAAATGTTATTGATATCATCGATAGTGATGAGTGAATTGATGATAACGATTGCGAGAGAGGCACAAATCGGATACAAATCAGATGCGTTCACCTGTTGGCTTGCAACCCATCAATTAGACTCATCAATTCCATCGAATCATTCAGTTGAACTTCATCAATCTGTCATTTATCGTTTAGCACATTATCACTTCGACTTTTTCATATGAACACTGCAAAATCGAAAACATAAATTATGCCACTTCATCAAAGCGTTTTTTTCAAAAAATTTTTCCTTCCTCTATGTTGGTGTTATCAACTGAAAGTAACGTTCATATTTTTTTGATGTCGACGAAGTTTGATTGAACTAAGAACATGCAAGGAAGGATTCAATAGTGCTGGTGATGAGGTTGAGTATGATCTCGTGATGAGTCTTTGCTGCTGCCCGAATAGATCAACAACATAAACAAATATGACTTGCTGATCCAAAGCCTGAACGTCTCAAAAATTTTCAAGTGAATAAAATCGCACTGCTGCTGTTCCTCTGCAGAGTATTTTCTTCTATAGAATCATTTCTTCTTCTTTCTTCTGCAGCTTATATGTAGCAGGAGCTACACGTTTGCACACCTACAGAAATTTCATTTCCTTGATTGAGTGAACGTCACAGTACAACTTGTGGCTATTGGCCTACTGTTTTGCCTATTACGAGCTCGATCATATCTTGCGTCAATCTCGATGTTTTTCGTTCCATTGTGCATGGTATAGCCGATTACCTTACTCTTTCACTCCTTAGAAAACTATTTACAATCGTTCGTTTTGGAGTAGACGTGAATGGATCGCTAACCTGGGATAACATAAGAAAAGCTGCGTATTGGCACAATTGGTACACTCACATGACTTTATTAATCTTCCAGAATTTCATCATTGAAACATCATTAAACCGTAGAAAGTTTGGCTGTAGCACCCCACATAAAATATAAACCGATCGCATGATGAAATATGGTCTCGATCGTAACAGTTCCTCACGGCAAGATAAGTTCATTCTGTTCACTCAGGCCATTCTCCATGACATTATCATAAGAGACGGTTAGTTTCTAGTTTGTGAACGTTCGCACAACATTAGCTGTATATCACTGACAGCACCTTCACCATTGAGGCAAATACCACTGCATATCACAATCGCGTTTTGAAAAATGAACGTTTCGATGGGTCACTGTAAGAAAGACTACTATAGGTTAAATATATAAGATAAATTATTAAGACGTAATCGCACCATACGTTGTACAAGCATGAACTCGGAAAAATGGGTAAAACATCACTGACGAAATGATTACTACGAATGGATAATAACTAACAAGTTCATTGAGGAACGATTGGCTTCGATAATAATGAGATGCAATGGGAAGATCTTGAGGAGAAATAAGATAAATGTAATCAATTATGCAGTTCGTGGTTTTATTCTCTCGAACAGTTTAAACTGGTTGAAACAAAGGTTTTGCGTCATTGTACGAATAAGCAAATCTATTTTTAGCATAATTAGCATAGCTTGTGATGTGCTGTTTTAAAGTTCACCTGTGAGAAGTTACGAATAGCCGTTTTGCGGTGAATGCAAAAAGGCGTATGTGAATAGTTGTGCGAACAGCGGTGACTTGAAAATTACAATTGGTTTCTGTTTAATGGCGTGGATTCATAAACATGAACCGTTTGTGAGTTCGTGGAAACGTGAAATGTTCTCGGAATGAATGCATTGAATTTGAACTTTCATAATTGTTTCTGAACGCTCAGAGTTATTGCAGAGTTTGAAGCAGTAAAACATACCGATGCTTTCATGAGTATACACGCATGAAATGCTTGAAAATTCTCCGAATGAATGCAGAAATAAGACAGATCATAAATAAGCAGGAATTTGTGAAGAATTTCTCATGAAATTACGACCGGCTGCAAACGTGGTGTTCAGTGACATTAACTCGTATGATTAATAAAGGGCTGTGATGAATATTTTATGCTTTTTAGCAATAGTGTAGAAGAGCGATACACTTAAAACGAATGTTTTATTTATGATCGAAATCACCCAAGGCCACAAACCGACGTATTTCTTGCTTGAGATGCTCCACATTTTTGTTTATTAAATATTTGCTAATGGCAGCACTAATGCAATAAATTTTCACGCACTCCCTGCGTTTTTCTCTTCACTTCGCCGGAACTTCACTCTTGTGAATCTCTCAGGTAATTAATCCACTGAAAGCAGTTTGAGAGGAGTAAATCCCTCAGTGAAAGCGTACACCGAAATGTAATATGAATAGTAGTCTATTGAGGAAAACCTCAAGCAGCTGTCCAAATTGTCTTCTATCAATCAGTTGGAAAGCCTCGATGCTTACATATGACTACTGCAAACTTGGTATTCTGTAACCTTATTCTGTAACATACATATGAGAACGTGAATTTCATGAAACCAGTTTCAAGACGCAAAAATTTTCCGTCCAATTCAGAGTACTTTTTCAAGGCATCAATTTTTCGAGTGAATATCATTCAGATTATGCAAAAGTGATCATAAATCTATGAATCATCACACGAGTGTGTCTGATTGTGCTTTCGAAACATCAATAAATTTTCAGTGATACAGACACAAATCGCTAATTTTATGGGTTCAAGGAACACGAATGGTAAGAAGATGCCCAGTTTAACTTTTGAAACCGTCAATTACTGTAACAGTTCAGGTATAAAATGATTAATGCTATCCAGTTCCGCATTATGACGCAACCGATTGGAAGCACGATTAGACTGCCCTCGCGATTAGAAATCTCTCTTGTCCCTTTATGAGTTCATTCAATCAGCCTGATCAAAATCAGCATCAACCACCCATTCGCATACACCTCCTTCATGATGCAGTGAAGGACCGTGACACTGCTTCAGGTATAAAATGATTCATAAACGAAAAACCTTACTAATCCAGGTATAATGTTTAAAAACATTCATCGAAACACACGTGTGATCGCCGAATCAATCAGTGCTGAATGGTTGTGCTTCATTGATGCCTCTCAAATATCTTACTAAAGCCTTTCACCATGTTCACAACCACAGTTCGCTTGAAAAAAGGTGAGTTCAAAAAGTGCATTCTAAATGACATCTTACATCGCAAGTTCTGACAAGTTGATGCAGTTTCTCAATGGTTTTCTTGCGCACGATACCTTAGCCACTAACTTGAATGATTTCGAAGTATCATTCTCTTTTCCATAAAGAGCTCATTCCTACGGCCATCTCTAGGAAGCTCACACAATATCGCTTGCCATAAAATTAGCTTTGGAATATCTCAAATACTTCGATTGTTTGACGATGCTTGAATTGCACCAATTGCTTATATGTGCTCTCAGATTCGTTCCCATGTTTGTTCTGTTCTCATGTCAACTGCTACTTTCTCTTTGCTTACTGTCTTCATGCTGCTTTGGTTCACGCCCATTGGCTCATTGCTCCCACACTGTCGACTGCATATCATATGAATAGTATCAGCTGTCTTCAATGAATTTTTTAGCAAATTTATTGTGCAGCATTGAATCAGAATCATTTTACATCTCTTTGGTCATGTTACGATAACTGTGTGGGTGCATTTACTTGATTATTTGTTCAAAAGTCGACAACCGCTTTCTTATTTGTTAATTTCAGGAGGCAACAACTGAAATGATGAACGGTGTAGAGTATCGTGCGGTAGTATTCAATTCAGCTCGAGATGGCAACTTGAGGAGACTGAATATTTTCCTGGAAGATCGGAGTGCTGATTGGTTATTTGGTTGTTTGACCGCACCTCCATCAAGAACTCCACCGCTGGTTATCGCGGCCAGAAATGGACATTTGGATGTGGTTAAATATCTCGTTAGTTTTCATCCTTTTTACTGAAATGAAATATTCAACTGTCGATTGATCATATTTAACCTGTCTTCATGAAGGTTCTGTTCGATTAGCAGTTCTTCAATGTCCGTACTTAACTTATCAAAGAAGACACTTTATCGTTCTTCTATGATTATGATTTCCATTATCTTTGTCAGTGGTGTTCTGAATATTTATCGATATAACTACTCGTACAATACGTTCTTATACAGTGTTTTTCCTATAGTGTTAACGAGGTCGTTTCAAAGTCATTTGCTTTCAGATGAAGAAAGGAGCTGATGTCTCAGTCAAAGGAACGGTCTCATTTGACGGAGAAGTGATCCGTACGTTTACATATTCATTCTCATATTCCATATTTGATAGTTCTCGTTAATCAATTCTTTATTACGTTCGTTGCATTGCTGATGTTCTCGTAGACCGTTGATAACTCTTATGATGATGTTTTGTGAGGCTTGCTTGAGCCGTAAAGATTCTTTGAATACATTGATTTCAGAGGGCGCTCCGGCTTTGTGGGCCGCTGCAGCCGCAGGTCATTTGAGTATAGTTCGTTGTTTAGTGGAAGAAGGTGGAGCGGATATAAATCAGACAACAAACTCGAATAGTTCTCCGTTGAGGGGCGCGTGTTATGATGGACACTATGAAATTGGTTAGTTTCAATGTAAACCTTTTAAAATTCACAAGGATCCATCCAGTCCAGAAATGAGTAGCTGTGAACGAGTCAAAGGAATTCTCAGTTCATCAATTACTATTTTCTTTTGTTCTACGATACGGTTGAAATCTAAAAAACATCAAAAGTTTTTAGTGAAATATTTGGTGGACAAAGGTGCTGACATTGAACTGGCGAATAGACACGGTCATACACCGCTGATGATTGCTGCGTTCAAAATGCGAACGGAAGTCGTGAAATTCCTTCTTGAAAGAGGAGCTGATCCGTTGAAGTCTTCTGCGAAAGGTTCTGATTTTTCAACAGATTCATTCTCAACAATCTTTGTTCTCTTAACATGTCTTCATCTGAATATGCTTAGTCGGGATATTTGATTGACTGGTTTCATTGTTGTGTTATCATTAAACTCGACAACACAAAAAAATTTCCAGTTTACTATCGCAGTTGATTTCTCGCACAAATTTATGAATTTATGTGTCATGTAAGAGGTTGCAAAATAGTCACTCAAAGATTTATATGTTTTAAATTTTATATGTGATGAATTTATAAGTTAACAGTATCTTTGACAATAATGTTCATCAAGGTACCGAAATTGTGCATTGAGAAAGTGATATTAGAAGCGACGTATTTGTCAGGTAATACGGCGATGCATGACGCGGCCGAAGCGGGTAGCGATGAAATTGTAAGAATGCTGTTGAGTATGAATGCGAAGAATATAGCTGATGACTTCGGTGTGACTCCGATGATGTGTGCTGCGCTCGCAGGCCATGAGAATGTTGTTCGATTACTGGCTGAATTTGTTGATGACCCACAGCAGACCAGAGATGCGATGAAGGTGTTTGCTTTGGTTATGGCATCATTTTGTGTTCAGCTTCAGTTAAATCATAATTAATTTATGAGTTGTTAGCTAAATTGAGGTTGATTTGAGCATCAAGTTGGTTGAGTTTGAGTAATATAGTTGTAATTTGATATCATTTTAGTTGTATGGTGCCACTCTGGTGGATAAGAGAATGGATTTAAGCACAGCGATAGCTATTTGGAAAGAGGCAATGGACTACGGTGAAGCAAAGGGTGGTAATGAACCGTTGGAAGTTTATGAAAATCTGGTTGAGATCGATTCACTGAACGATATTCGAAACATAGTCGGTGATCCAGATGCTATTCGCATGCAGGTTATCAAATCGTTCAGATTGATCTGAATTCGATTTTATATTAGATTAAAACTGGACAATAAGAGTCAGTCACAGTTGACTGAAGACTGTTTGTTCATTCATTTTGCAGAATTGACAAAAAACAATCTCGGAATGAATGAGAATTACAATTTACCGATCGTAATGATGAAAAAAAATGGGTCGAATTATGATGAATTTGATAAGTTGAATGGATTGCAGGCGTTGATAATGCGTGAACGCATCCTCGGAGGTTACCATCACGAAACACACTATTTCATTAGGTATCGTGGAGCAGTTTATTGTGATTTGGGACAAGTGGATCGATGTTTCGAATTGTGGATGCATGCGTTAAAATTGCAGGTTGTTTGATTTCACTCTCATCATTATGATCACGCACCGTGTCAATATTATTTCCTGAAATAAAGACTCGCATTAGTGTCCCTGATTGCCGTGCACATCGATTGACTTTATGAAATGGAGCAGTCATATTGTCTGTTTGCAGCAAACGCATCTGTGTGCACTGCACCCATCAACCAAATCAACAATCACCGCATTTCTGGACTCATTCATGATCACAATCAATGAAGGTATCATCAATGCCAATGTCGATGCAGCTGCTCATGCTCGTGTACAACCCTTCTCGAAATCAAATCTGTTGCACGTTCTGAACGCAACCGTCAACGAAATGGAAAGGTTTCTTGTATTTTCATATTGCCTTTCTTCGATTACTCCATTTATTATAATTGCTATAAACATAGAATAATTCGGTAATACTAAAGTTATTCTCGTTTTCAAAGGTCATTGATTGATAGCTTTGAATCAAAGTGGATCTTTTCGTATGCAGCTGCAGCTCATTGTGAACAAATAATTTTATTATAAGATTGTTGTTTGCCCTGATGTTATAAAATGCATAAATGTGCATAGGTAGTTAAGCAGTTTTATGCAAAAATGTTTTCTTATTATTTCGTACGAATGGGTTGAGCTTATCTGAGATTTAGCGTGGAGTCAGTTGCTGTGGGTAGGGAGTGAGAGAGGAGATAAATAAAGTGTGCTGTTTAAGGTATAGAAACGGAGACGTACGAATTCGAAGCGAAGATACATTAGAAGAAACGGAAAGTGAAGAGAGTTGCATGAATTTCCTGATGCTCGCATGTCTGCAATTCATTTTATTGGTACCATTCTACTTATTTTTTAATTTTATTTTGAAATGCGCATGATTTCGCTAGGATTAATTTCAAGTTGCAGTTTAATTGACGTAAATGAATTATTGATTGCAATAGGTGAGATGATCAGGACGACACACACGAACAGGCTATCGGGTATTCGTTTAGTATTGATTCTGATTAGATGGAAGATATGATCTGTGCAGATAAGGATTTTTTGGAGAAATTTTGGAATTGGCTCCTGGTTCCGATTCCATTTAGTCTCAATTTCATTGCGAATTTTGCATCTTCGCCAGAATTGTTTTCATACCGTTTAAAATTAGTGCTCACCGTTGATGTGGACAGCCAAAGCGTTTCTAACTGATGAATTTTGAATAAACATGAAAATTGAAACCACTTCATTTGATAAATAAAGCGATCAAGCGAATTTCAGATAAATCGTTTGCAATCGATCGAAAATAAGTGTTGTGAAGATGAAGAAGTAATCGATGTCAAAGACTCCTCATCATTCGCCTCAACGCTTCATCAAAGTATTTGTCGTTTGATCAGCGTTACAAATCAATCGCAAATGTATCCACTACATGCCGCATGCAGAGATACCGACAAGCCCGTTACTGCCAGATTTCCATCGAGTTTTGTGATCAGTCGGTTGATACGATCCGGTGCTGACGTGAATCTGAAAGATCAAAACGGTTGGTGGCGAGTTTGTTTGTGCATTGATTTGCTATCGGTTTATTCTCTGTGTTTGACTGTTTCCATTCGATGAGGTCGCGAAGTTGAGTTTTCGAACGTTTTTAAGTTCTCAAATGCGTTAAGTGTATATTTATTGATTATAGGAAATACGCCATTGCATACTCTTCTTGAATGTGATAAGCCGCGAACGAGTGTCGTCAAGTTACTCCTGGAACATGGTGCGAAACTTCTGGCACGGAATACGAATGACGAGACGTGTCTCGAGATTATTCATCGGAAAATGTCTTTATCGCTCCCTCAACTCAAACTTGGTTAGTTTTCTTTCAAGTGGTTATATTGCTGTTGCGCTGTGATGATATTGAGATTATATGGTGATCAACGAAAGGTCTAGATCATTTTTTGTTTTTCGACAGTGAAAGTCAGATTTCAGGTCGTTTCTTAATGCTATCTGGTCTCGCCGCGAACACATTACAACGAAAACGTATCCCGCATAATTTCTTGTCAATTGTACCGAAAGATTTAATGCCGCTATTGAATTTGTATTGATTGCGGCATGTGTAAACAAGTGAAGAATGTTGAATCGGTTTAAAATGCGTAAACTCGATTCGACGCGTACGGTATACAACGGGACTGAGCTATTGATTTGTTGAAGTTGGTGCAGTGGTATCATAATAGCCAAAAATTATGTACAAACTCCCTTGTTACAGCATCTTGGAAGTATGGATTTGTTATTTTGCTATTGAGTGTCATTTTGTGTTTAATTTGACGTGATATAATCTAGTGTCGGTGAAATTATAACTGTTAACTGATTGTTGATTGATGGACTGAGCACAGAGAATTGGCGATAAATCTGTCTGTCTTTGAAATCTCTTTGAAAATTGAATTGTTTTTTGACGGAAATGTTCGTCAAATTTTCCAAATTAGTGTCTCTTATCATCATATCGATTGCAAGTGAGTGCTTCCGATAAAGGCAGTGGCGTAGCCATGCTTGATTTCTGCCAGGGGGCGGGAGTCTGGTCTGCAAAGTGGTCTCGTTGAGAAACACGACTGAATTTTGAGATTTGTTTTTCTCAGTTTATTTTTACTCCGTTTCCCTCTCCTCTGTTTTTTTTTNTTTTTTTTTCAATCTTGCCCTAATTTTCATATCCCTGTCCTCTTTATTTCCCTCTTCTTCACGCTTCTTCCTCCTTTTCAGCACCATTTAGGAAGAGCGGAAGGATCCTCTGTGTCAACCCATATCCCATTGGTCACATCACTGCATAGAAGCTGATTTGAAACTAATGATGCAGTTGTTTTGAGTTTATGAATACCGTTATCGTAGAATTGTTTCTACTTGCTTCGATACAATACACATGGTTTAAGCGGGTTCCTAGCAAATATAATGCTTTATTTGTACGATTTTTGTTAGTCTCATCGTTTCGTATTTGTAGTTCACGACGATACGAGTGTATAAGCCCTCCTTTGTATATTTGCTAGTTTATTGAAGTTATAAGTTTCGTTTAATATTAATCACGCAAACATTTTAATGTGTAATATGCACTTTTCCGAAATTTTGTTTTTAACGAGCGCTCGTTCGTGCCATCTCTTCAATTAATTTCTACTTATTTGAAAAATCGTTTCATCTGCTTTTGTAATCGTTTTCGTACTCACTGTCAGTAAGAGTATGGAGACAAAATGTTATTTGTACTTTGCTTTGAAACGGAACTTAAAATGATTTGTTTATATTTTGCATTTTGTATAATTGTCAAATTTTCTTACAACTTATCATTTTCATATTTCAATTGCGGTTTCTCACAATATCAATGCTAAAAGTAAAAACGTAATAGAAAGAATGCGAATGTGTTTGCCGTGTTTATTCGATTATTTTATTCGTGAATGTAAACGTTTCTGTTTTCACACATAAATCATATTATATCGATTTCTGTAACAATCACACAACATTCAAAATCAACAACAGTAATAAATTATATCACCACATATAACATAATCTCTTCCAAGACAAGTCAGTGAATCATCAAAAACAATAATCAAACTGTACCGGATTGTGATAACATTCACATATAACGAAAGTAACGATAAATCTTCAAAATCAAAACATAACTTTAGCAATCAATCACTGCAAACTGCAAATTTTCACCAACTATGAAATGGGGACAAGACCAACAAATGAACAATGTTGTAACATTATAACTCAAAAAGATTTTTTGATAGTATTTTCAAAAAACAAGCAAAACGTCACCTAATAACATGATTTATGTCTACCACAATCAGCACATTAATAGTTTAACTGTTATTCAATATGTTTTATAAATGTAAACATTCAATTGAAAAACCCCCAATAGATTCGGAATGTTTTGGAATCACACTCTATAAAAGCAAGCAAACATTTTTCTATTGCATCGCCAAAACAATCGAAACAAGAAGATTGGCCCGATAATAGTGGCACAAAACAATACAAAAATTTTAATGAATTTCTGATGAATTCAAAACATGACAAAATGAAAGCATGATAGAATTTATAGTAGAGTGACAGAAAATAGAATTCGGATACTGACAAGACAGTAACAGAGACTGAAGTCGTGAAAAGAGAATAATGCATTCATTTGCGATAACACATTAAAACGTTTGAAATAAATCAGTATTGCGGATGACTATACGAATGAATCAAATATTGACAGTTCTCCTTCAAAAGCGCATAAAAACAAACATTAACTGTAATAATTTAAACCCTACATACCAGTATTCAGCGTAATAATATCCAAATCATAAAAGTTTCATTAAGGTGATACGATTCTCGATGATTTTCATTCATTCGTCAATCAACGAAATCAATTTCATCGATTTGCATAAAATTGGAATAAAAATTATTGCAACTTCCTCTGAGAGGCAAGCAGCACATTCTTGCACAATTGTTTAAAGTGACAAATACAAAATAAATTATATTGTAATAAAGAATTTTCTTTAGGAAGACATGACCAGATTTATGAAAAATCTGAAGAAAGTCAGTATTTCAATGGCCATATAACTGAAGCGCTGTCGAAGATAGCGTTTTGAGTGCAGGTATCACCGACGATAACTCCACAAAATCGTTTCCTCGAACCAATTCAGTACATATTTGCTGACATGTTCGGAAATCGGTGGTGTTCATCGATGCGGCCATACGATACAGTTGAGAGAGCGTTTCTTGACAGAACTGAAAATTGACACTCATTCTGAGTTCGCATTTACTGCGTTAGTGGTTTCGGCTAAGAGTAAGGATGTGCTTCAGCATCAATGTACATGTTCACGAATGAATATTTTTTTAAACTATACATGAATATTTCAGTCAATAACCGAATTTTAAATTCCACTTGTAGTTTCATCAGTTCAGAAAGAAAATTTCAACATGAAACAACAACAAACATTATTTCTGGCAAGACGTGGAATTAGTTCAGTGGATACTTTATGCTCGACGTCACTCATTTTATGCGTAACAATCTGCAATTATAGATAGATTTTCAATCATAACTGTTAAATTGTTGGTACTCATCTGAGGGAAACTGTTACTGGCACTGTTACTGAACTAGATCCAGTCGACTGAACTACCTTAAAAATTCTTTCAACGAAATTCGCCAACAATCATCTCGTGCTGAATGTAGACCTAATTTGGACAAATGCTCTTTCACTTCTTTCGAAATGAAATGAATCTGACCATATTCAATAAATAACCAAGCATTTCACGCTCATGAAGATCCATCCGTATATTCTTATCAGATATTACACTAATGAAACTGAATGAATGAACAACATTCAATGCATATTCACGATATAACCACATAAGCATAAACAAAATATAAGAAACAAACAGTTGTTTTATTGTATTGACGAATAGTCGCGATGAGGTTCTGAATTGTTGTAATCAGATAATTATCTGCTTCCGAAAGGGTATAGCTTGCTAGCGGTTGTTGAGTAGAGTTATTCAGTGTTTCGGATGGTGCAACGTTTTGTTGGTTAGTCGTAGCAGTCAGCTGATTCACTCCATAAGGCATTCCTTCATTCAGCGGTACCATTTTGAAATGAATATCTGCGATTTGTGCCGAATGAGGTTCATTCTTTTTCGCTGCGATCACAGGTGGATCATTCCAACCTGATGACGTTGACATTCTTCCTTGAAAGATACGTAATTTCGAAACTAACCTCTAAACATTCTCGTTACTATTTTATAATATCGTTTTACATGTGAGTACACCTTCTACAGTGAGTACGCCTTGCCCAAAAAGAATAGTCACAAACCAAAAATCTGCAAAAAGCAAACTCAAATTGCACCAAATGCCACTGACTTGCCATTGGTGAACCCACCACCACTTGTCTGCTTGTCCCTTCTGCAGTCGTTGACGACTGTGATGCGGTCGAAATTGTCCTTATTCTTGCCGTTGCAGCCGAAGTTGGTAGTGAACCATACGGACCCATCGGAGGGTTAGACGGCGCTGCAGGATAGGAAGGGTTTGGCGGCGGTATACAGGTCGATTGTGCATATGGAGGTGAGCACATATTTGACTGATAGCACGACGACGGAGACTGTTGAGGCATCGATGGTGACGGAATATAACCGTTACTTATGGCAGATGCTGGATGGCCGGGGATAGGAGGAGGTTGATTTGGAGACGGATACATCATCGATTGCGGTTGCTGGACGCTGTATGAGGGTGGATACGACGAGTAAGAATTAGATAGAGTCTGTGGGGCTCCGTAAGGTGAAGATAAACCAGCAGCGTTCTACAAACATAAAAGATTATGAATCAACGAAACGAATAAATGAATTAGAATCAATAACTGGGAAACTGGGACATGTTCAAAAATCTATCATTTCTGAACACAACTCTGTAGAACAAAAGGGAAGTTTCAGATTTGCAACTGCCAAACACTTACTTGAAGAGGTGTTTGTTGAGGAGGATAAGTCGAGGGTTGCTGAGGAAATTTCGGTAAAGTCGTCGGTTGCATAAACGAAGGCTGTTGTGCTAGTGGCATCAATCGACGATTTGCTGGTGCAGAGGACGGCTGCTGATAGACTGCATTCAATTTCGAATACTCTTCACGAATTTTGGCATACGGATCGATTGGAATTAAAGAACGCTGCTGATTCATTGCAAATGCGCTACCGATAACGTTGTACAACGTATAACGAAGTGCCTTTAATCCCTTCAATAAAACTCGATTAAATGACAGCTTATTTCACGATACATGTATATAATCAACGTAGTTACGATCATCAATTCACTGCTAAATTAAAAACACGAGCGATAACAAATCAAATGGAATATACAATAACGATTGAAATAGTATCAATGACGGCGGCACAAAGAATGAACACAATAAAAGCTCAAAAAAGGAACTGATGACAAGAACGAGAGGCAATTAAACAACCTCATTACATTCCGCGTTATCAATTGGTTCAATCATTTTCCACGCTGCTTCGATGAACCCTTTCTCGGCGATACCTTTGACGTACTCTTCCAGCGTCGACTGGAATTTCGGTCCAGCTGATACCGTTCTCGAGCTGCCACCACCTACAAATGAAACACCTCCAGGTCAATCAATACACTCAAAACTCAAACAAACTACCAACATCAAACATGCAAATGTAATCAATACGAGATAACGAACCCAATGAATGCCTAAGAATAAGAGCCAATGCAATTCGTTGATCAAGCTTCAACGATCTCGTCGCATCCATAAGTGCCTCAATATCACCGCATATTATTGCCGGTATCGCTGCATCCAGCAGATATTCCGCACTGTTTTCCATCAACATTCTATCACAAAGCCGATTGCAGAGAGAACGAATTTTATGTGACGGTGCCTAGAAAGCATTTCTATGGATTTTTGTTTGCCTTCAATTCAATTAAATCCATTCACATTTTATTTTCTTTACGAAATGGTGACTGCAATATTTCAAAAAGAATCATAAAAGAGCAGTAATTAAATATGAAACAGTGATCCATCAGAATGACGCGAACTAAACAAGCACAGCAAAACCACAAAAGAAACCTGTGCGAGGATTAATAACAAGATTTTTTTCCAATCAACGATTTCCCATGAATACAACAAATGCTCCCACATTCCAGCGGCCATCAAAGCTACCAATCGGATGCGGAAAGACGAATTCGGATCTTAAAAAATGATTATTGATTCGTGTTTCATAAGCATCTGCGCTACACAAAGCGACCGACGACACCACAAAATAATCATCAAATTGCACTGCTTCTGAAAAATCATTCAGCATCTCTGTCATAAATATACTAATTTTAAAAACCTTCATAAAGTTTTCTTGCAATGAATCGAACCGCGTCTTGATCAGAATTTGTATGCGCCAATAACAGCGCTAATGTCCAGTCTCTTTTCAAAATTGCATCAGCAACTGATTTACGAGGTTCATCGTTACTCAGCATCGCCAAAAATGAATCGTCATCTAAAAAAAAAAAGCAAAACTGAACATTTCAACAAGAGCTATCAGATGTTTTAAGCAAATTTAAACAAATATAAGTTCATTACTAGATTGCAGCAATAATATGATCATAAACTAGCATAACAAATTTCTAATATGAATGCCTAGCTAGTTCCATTAGTAAAATATCAAACACTCGTCTAGGAACAACGTAATACACATATATCATTCGATTAATACATTTGTGGAAGACTTGATAAGACTGGATCAACAAATGATTCAAAAAAAACCAGGAGTGGATTCTTTCAACGACATTTGCGTCATATTTCTGTTTGGCCACTGTTGGGATGGTTTCTGCTCATTTACAAACACTTCTGAATCATCCAGTAGATTCTGAGTGTCATTTTCTTCTTCAGAATCATTCTCAGGTGACATATGACATGAGTCCATTTGACTTATTAACTCGTTCAGGTCTTCGCCTACTTGTGAGTCCTTCTGAGCATCTGAAATTCCAAAGTCTCATTGACTATTCAGCAATTTGTCGTCAAAGTGATGCTGATGATAGCAAATAAATACCAACTTCACCATACGGATCAAACGATGAACATACTGAGCATTGCTTGCATCAAAAAATTATCTGATTCAAGGAAGAAAATATTGTACCATTCGAAATGAGACGAAGATACTCAGTTCTAGACGCATTAAGAGAATGCTTCGACAGAATATCCCATATCACTTTCTCATCTGCGTTGTCAGCTTGCTGTGCACACCATTCACAATAGATTGAAAGCTGATTCGTGTCGATAGCCGTTTGTAACGCTTCAATTCGTTTCTCGACACTTTCATCTTGTTCGATCTTCAATTTCTCATATTCCTCATTCGATTATGATCGCACGATGAGATGACTTAACAGACGGGAACAAAATGATGAATTCAATACCTTTTTGATGAAAACAACCGATGAGGATGTGTTCGTTGCTGGATCAGATTGTACCTCGAAGGTGCACAGTTTACTGCCGTATGAAAATTGTGCTCCACACGAGCCCCGTCTCATCCATGCAGGAATTACTGACAGTTGGAACTCATCGCTTTTAGTTTCGCACACCTTGAGTTTTCATACGAACAATTTCTCACAAAAACGACATTACCCTAATTCATTCTACACTTACGCTCAAGATCTGCTCTTTCAGTGAATCAGATTCACTGAAAGAACAACTTTTCAGGAGTTCAGCTCGTCAACTTCAACAATAAAAATGACACATGAGCGCAAGTGCGCGTCGGTGTCAGCTCTTTGCAACACTGAAATTCGCAATGAAATCTGTGTCAAAATGTTATGGACATAAGTGAAGTGACGTCACTAGATAATCACATATTGTAGAATGCCACTGAACACCACTAAGCTAAAACCTGAGTTTCATCTGTTGCGAATGGTGTCAACGAGTGAATCTCTATCGGACGATCGAAGAACGATACAGCGAATAGGTTCGGATTGGATGGATTCCATGAGAAATGTCGAGGCCAACCTTCAAAAATCAATCCACTTCAACCGCATTTTATTTGATATGAAAACCATCTGATTTGATGCAAAACGACGTACTAACGCGGCACTCAATATTGAAATTCGAAATGGGGAAATTACGATCATAATTGGGGAATGCCCGTCCAGAATTCAAATTTTAAACTAATTTTCAAATACATTTGTTATTATACATGCAGATCAAATCATTCGCATTACACAAAGCATCAGATATCAAGATGAATATGGACGATGCACGATGAACTTCGAGTGGAAAATTGCAGCACCATTCATACAGCTATATGAAACAGAAAAGAAACTGAAAGGTGCGACAAACATTCATGGAATGTACCTTTCACAACATCTCTTCCAATCAGTTGACCATTATTCGGATTCTGAAACAGTATTTGCTCATCTCTGCCCAATGTTGCCAATATTTCACTATCGTACGTACTCCAGTCCATACCAAATACACCTCTACAAACGCTTACGTTCAGTTCAATTGGAATCACTTTTTAAGTTCTCAGATAATTTGATAGAACAGCATTTATTGTCGACCAGACACATCCGATAAAATAGGATATTAAATCGGATAGAAATAAGATACCTGCTGTGTAACTGATAGGTTAAAACTGGTTCGGATGCGTATCTTAAATCCCACTTTTGCAGAATTGGCAGTGAATCACTTTGTGAGGCCAAACATAACGTATTGCCGTTTGCTGGATTTGGATTCCACCGCATTACGCTCCAGTCGACACCATTACCTACACTATTCTTATTATTGTAGGAATATGTTTATGACTAAATCACTCAAACCACTGATTGCTAAACGTTACCGATATCAGCAACATCGAGAATCGGTGAGCCTGGCTTTCGAAGATCCCAAATGGAGCATCGTTCATTCGAAAGACTCGCTAATATGTGTTCCGCAAAGTGATTCCATTGAACACATTTCTACAATATCGAAAAAAACAATATGATCAGATTTCCGTACCGAAAACTGACAAGTTCTGCTGGCAAAGAAATAAAATTGAATCATTTTTACGCGATGAGAACTTGACAAATAAATGAAACTCACAATTTGATTATTGTAATTTGAAGTGCCTGGGGACATTGGATTCAAAGGGCTGTTCATATCCCAAATAAGGACTGAACCATATCCACCACCTGAACACACCCATTTGTTGTTCGCACGATTCACGTCAATACTTGACACATGACCTTGATGATATCGTGTGTCACCAACGCGGTTCAATTTTTCACCTTCAATATTCGCGTTGAAAAGGAAATACTCATATCGACGAAAACAATCGTAATGATAACGACGATTGAATATTTAAAAAGCATCTCTCACCCTCACACTTTTAATCGAATCACTCGAATGAATAATTTAAAAAATACCTCGAATAAGACTGGCCGCATCAAACACATACACTATACCACTTTCACCTCCACCAATCAGTAGCCCTGCAGGGTGTTCATCGGTTTTCAGTGATGACCATCCCACTGAATTCAGCCTATAAAATTACACTTGTCTGATCCGCACAATTGCACTTCTGAGAAAGTTAACAACTTTTCACGCGATTGATTGCATTCGGCAATTTTGATTAACCTGAACGAAACTGCTGATAGAAAGCAACGTTTAACGGAACAACTGCAATAAATCAAAAGACTAACTGACTTGAAGTCAACATCAAACGAATGTGAAGGCTTGAGACGCCCTGCTGCTTGATTTTTGCCATGGATGATTTCTTTGGTGGATATGAAATCAAAAAACGAATGTGTGATATCCGTGGAAAGGTCAATTTGTTGAGCTGCTTCAGCGACCGCTAGTCCTTGATTGTCATCACCTGGATTTCCAACCCATGCAAAAACACCACCCTTCTCGTATAGTCGACGTCTGTTCATACTGAAATTTTTTTCACAAATCTCAGAAACGATGATCGTCTGTTAGTTTATCACGAAAAGACTATAAACTGCTCCCGGTTGCAAACTGACCCCGAAGAAGACATCTTTGACCGAGAAAATTATTGAAAGATGCAGAGAAATGAATTTGCTCTTTTTTCCAACTCAACAATCTGTAAACTTCATACAGCATAGCATGCGTGTGTATTGCAGCCTCATGCACTTACATTATGCTCAAGTTTGGGTTCACGCAGACTCTGAGGCAAGCGTATGCCTACGCTTAAGATCTGGCTAACACTAGAGTTCACAAGTGGCTAATATATGTCCGCGCAATTGGAAAACTTGTATGAGGTTTACCCGTCAACTTCAAATTAAATGAATTCTTAAGGGTTCGCAAGCCATCTTGAAAACTCTGTGATAGTCGATTGCAGCTTATTTTTGTGGTTGGGCACAATATTCGAGCTACTGCGTTCTGCTCGTATCTGTTACAATTGTAAAGATCACAATTGTATGCATTCCCATCATGACTGAGCCAAATTCATTAAGAATCAGCCATGCAGTTTATCCTCTTGCTGACAGAGCAGTCAGTTTATACTATTTAAGCCATTTGACATCCGACAAGACATCGATGTTTAGTACTGGAAAGTTTAATACTGTGACATAGCAACCTGATTGCCATATCAACTAGTGTAAACTGCATATTCGGTGAGGTAACTAATTGCTCACTTGATGCATTTATACTGCCTCAAAGTTAGATAGTGATTCAAAAACTAGGAATATTGCTCTGATCATTTTCAATTGTTGAAATGAAGTGGAAATTTTTCAACAAAATCATTGATACAATGCATTTAATGGAACACCACTGCGCTAGTTGAGCTGGCTTTAATAAATTAGCTATATTTCCTCAACTAAGCAAAATCGCCCGACAAAATATGTATTTTCCTGAATGCAGAGATTCCGCTTGATCGAATGGTGTGAAGAAATTGATATGTTACTAACCGAAGCTGAGAGTACGGTAGGCTTGAATGTCGCAACCCCTATATCATCAGAAAAATAGGTATATGTCGTCGTAGAGATGATATTTCTCGGCGAGTTTTTCATTTTCAGAAAGCCGAGATTCTGCTCGATCGAACGATGAGTGCGAGAGCACATTATCAATTAAAAATTTCTTGCTATGATAGCTGATCTTGAGCAATCGATCTTGAGAATACGTCTGCAACAGTCCGTGTAGTTGCCCATTACCAGTTTCAATCAAGGTCTCTCTGATTCGCACAGTTTTTAGTTTTTGAAAAATAACTCAATGCATTTTGATTTGAGTGAGGTGTCGAAGTTCTTGAGTAAAAAGTTTTTACATAGTGAATCATCGAGATGAGTTCATATCCAACTCAAAATGAATCTCTCAAGCGATTGCGGGTCATATTCCATTTCATCCATCATGTTTACTGGGTTCTGATGCCATCTCATACGTATGATCTACTCATGTGATGCTGCGTTACTGGGTAAACCTGAGATCACCGTTAGCTTGAAGATTATACCTCCACCTTTTCCTGTTTCAGAAAAGTATATAGGTCGTGGGACGACTTTGCTTACTATTTGGATGTTGTCGATCATTTCGATGCATGCATGCAGGAATACTTTGCATTTTTATTCAGCAGTTTTGTTAATGTTATCCTCAAGTATTGCTACAAAGCGATTTGCTCATCTGAGCGATTCGGGTGCGTAGAAATTGAATATGCTCATCGATCATCCTTTCAGATGCACCTCTTCTTGTTTAAAGCTGATTATGATATCAATAAAGAGCTTCTTACAGAAGCGCAATGCATATCAGTCGCGCCTCAGTCTTGACCATTTACTGATCTGTCAATAAACTTTGATGCGTATCAGTTCCGCCTCAGGCTTGATCACTCATCATTCATTTGATCATTCATTATTTGTCAATAAACTTCGTCGCATTCGGTTCATTCACACTTCACTATGCGTATACAATGGTTTATTTTTGCACTTCTTCTTTCATGGGGCTCGTTGCTTTTTTCCTCACAAGATTTCATTTGATTTCGGAATTTATCAGATGTTTTGATTTCACTCTCAACCTCTTCTGTTGATTAGATTAATTCAGATTATATATGTTTCATTTCACGAAAGTCGCCATCTCGCGACTTTCTTTTTGTTTTCAACACGTAAACAATAAATCATCTGGTAGTTGTGTAAAATGTCCTTAGTGATTATTTGAATGATATTACTCGTTGAAACTATGGGGACATTGTCAGATGTTGCGATTGTCATAAGATTTCTTTTGAGCGAATGATATCAGCCCCTCAAACTCATTCACAGATTATTCCAATGACTTCAACACCAATCAAAACGAAATCAGTTCAATGAGAATCAGTGATATTTAAATAGCAACTATGCAAGTGACTATACTCATTTCAACTCCTCGCCAGAAAATATATGATTCGCAAATTTTCAGTACTTTTTATATAGTATTCAACTTTACCAACATCATCACAGTGTGAAGATATGCACTTCTCCAACAAGCAATCTCAGGGAGGTGGGTGAAGGGGTTGGGAGTCGGCAAGGCTCGCGCTCCTGCACCCCCTTCCCCTCCGCCCCGCTCACCGTGCAAAAAAAATCCTGGAAGCGGACTTAAAACGTGATCATCAATATTGTTCTCTTGTGCAAGAAAAGACCGCAATAATTTTTTATCTCCCACAGCAATAAGAATCCTCGGAGCAAAGTCTCCCCTATCGTTCGATATGATCGATCCTCTTCCCGATTTTATTTCTTCCGTGATTTTTTATGAACCGCTCGAAATGCGGTGATGAAAAATGCAACCCTCATCATCAATCTCAGTTTCAGTAATTAATGTCACGGTGTCACCCGCACCAACCCACTATCAATCGCTCTACTGCTATCAATCGCACGATTCGCTCAGCGTTTTAGAATAGGCAATCAATTTCGATCGTACGTTGTTTCGAATACAATTTTCTTGAAAATTTCTTATAATAATTCAAATTAATCTTTGCATATTACCATAGAACATATCGAAAAGAAATGCCGGATTACAACTTCAGGCTGGATCACACTTCCTATTGCTCATTTAGAAACCTACTACCACGCTTAGAAGTCTTTTTGTACTCTACGGTGACGGAACTCAAATTTCTCACCCCATATTGAGCATCCCTAGTGCATTGAAGCTACGCTATTCTCCCTCAACCTCAATTCTGTTTCATCAAGTAAAATGCGTGCTTTCAGAAATAGCCAAGTTCGCAGATCTATTTCTCATTCCAATGTGCAATTAAGTTTTCCCGTTTGTAAACATAAAAAGAAGCCAAACCCTCTTCCTTTCTGCACACAATAGGCTCACGCAATCTCAGGTTTCCGCTTGCGCAATTCTGTAGAATCAATGTTGGAGACTGTTCTCGCTAACTTAATCCAGCTTCAGCTCCGCGGACTCTCATATATTCATCCCATGATTCAGTAACCACATATTTTGTATATTTGCAGTTTCAACCAAAGTCATATCAATCACATCAATCTGGCCATATCAGTCTAGTTCAAAGCCAGCGGGCAAAATAATTGATCATAAACACAACAGATTGAAACAGAATGTGATCACTGATCACAACTCAATTTTATTTCACTTTCCCTAGGTTCACGCAAATAAAAGTGAATAATGTGGTCATTCGACCACGGCTCATTTATTAATGACCTAAGTTGAACGAAAAGAACTTTCGAAAGTCAAATATTCGAACTGACCTGGGCGCCTCGATGCGCCATCCATTGCTTCGTCGTAGAAATTGAAGCTATCGTAGTAAAGAGTCGCTGAACGGAAAAAGCCGGGGACGGAAAAAGTTCGGGGACGGGGAAAATCGGGGAAGAAACTTTCCACTCAGGGATCCCGATAATGTCTGGGGCTCAAAAAAGGTCGAGGACAGGGACTCGGGTCAGGGCCCCGAAATCTCGCGATCCCCGCATCACACTGGTGCACAATGTTGGACGGTTAAATAAGGTATGAAAACGATAACGACATTAAACGAAACATCTGAACATAAAACATGCAAAAATCCTGGACCAAACTGCCAATTCGAGAACTAACTATCATAAGATTAACAGTAACTCAGGATCAGACCAATTCATAACAAGGATAAAGATAACGAAAATACGTAAAGTCAAGTCGTTCAGTGAAGGCGAATTCAGAGCTAAGTTTCGAGTCAAGTTGGCTCGAATACCAATCGATGTGAAGTCAGGTTGTCAATTCTAAGATCTATCAGATTCAAACAGAAATGAACTACTTATTAAAATTCACTCACAAATTCTGCTGCCTCGATCATTAATGAATTAAGAGAAAATTCCACTGTAACTCTTCATCATCCAAATCTCAAAGCTATCATTCGAGCGCTCGCGGTGTTTAAGCTTTAAGAAATTCTCAAGATCTTGATTCAGCACTGGTTTTTCAAAAGCACATCATTTTGAGACTCTATAATTCTGCCGGTTCTGAGCCTGGGGAGACCTTGTGCTACCAGCCTGGAAAGAAGTCAAGCCTCCATACATGCTCTGAACTGCATATTCCTAGATTAACCTCAAGCTGAAAGTTATGCCCTCGATCATGGTCAGTCTTCTGAAGGCACAAGTGATATGCAATTATTTACTAAATTCGGATAAAATGTCAGCTTTTAAATGTTATCGAGTTATTTCACTAGCATCAGCGAGAGAAAATGATTATACTGGCAATGGAGATGAAGATAATGTCGAAGAAGTTGTATGAATGCAGTATGAACGTGACACATAGATAAGCTTCGGCGAGTAACCACAAACACCCGAGAGCTTTCCCCTTATAATGCATTCAATAACATTCAAGCTAAGCGAAATGATTTCACGTATGCAGCCAATGATCAACCCGATGAAATTCCCCCTGTTAAGGGAAAGTGCGCACAGTGGGTCCGGGAACCCCCGTTACCTGAGCAAATGCCCATCCGGGAACCCCCGTCACCTGAGCAAATGCA